TAAATTATTAAGTGCTGGTTTTAAAGCAGTTTGTTGATGTAGGGTACCTGCCAAAATACAATTTAGGGCAGCCCTTATCAAAGGCTAATAATTGATGACCACTACTTTAAGACCAGAATAAGTTATTTTAATTAAAAAATTCGTTTTTTTTTGGACAAGGGTCCCATTTGTGCTAAATGACACCTTTTTAATTAGCCTGCTCTTTTAACCACCTCGGTTTTACATATCAACATAAAGAAGGGAAGAATAAGTTATTTGGAATGAGAAAATAGATGCATGAATAGAAAGCCAGATATATCTAGAAGAATGCCCTAACTTGAACAAAAAATTATGAATAATAGGAAATTAGTGCTTCAATAATTGCTTAAGGTTAGCCTAGAAATTAAAAAAAAGAAAAAAACTGTAAAAATAGAGAACTTAATCTTACGTTCTTGATGCCTTATATCAAATCATAATTTGGTGAATCGTTAATTTTGTAGAAAAAATTTTTGCCTGATAATTTGAATAAAGATCAAAAGACTACACATATTGAATCCAACTTAGCAAAATTGATGCCAAAGATCTTAGGCTTACTATTATACAAAACTCTTATCAGATAGAGGGGTTGATTTAAACCTTACCAGTCTAGGACTAAAAGGAAGGTTCACTACCCTACATCTAACACATAATAAACTTTAAGAATTGAAGAGAATTTGCTAAAAATTAGGATTATTGTTAAGAAAATAGTATACTAGTCAAGGTATTTTAAATAAATTATAAAAATTAAAAATATTAGGTTTTAGAATAAATTGAAAATTATTAAAATTAATAGAAAAACATAATAATTAGTCAGTACTCAAAATTAGTTAGACAGTTAATTTAAAATTTTAATTATAATTTATAATACATTAATATTAATGTTAATCAACTAATAAGGGAAGTCTTATGGGAATAATAACATTCATGAAAACTGGATTATGTTCATAAATACAAGTATTTCCAAGTATGCTAGATTCGTTTCTACATCTATCTCTGCAGTGAAATGAAGTTTACATCTTATGAAATGAATTAATAACTTGCTATTAGTTAGCCTATAGAGGAAATTTATGGATTAATTGAGTAAGCAGGCATATGAGTTGGCTTTTAAGTACACTCATAAATTAGGTTATTTGGAGAATCCAGCTAAAAAAAAGAATTAGGCTAAGATTAGATTCAGCAACAAAGAATCAAAAACTTTAGAATGTGGCATACTAGAGAACTACTAATAATGAAAAACTTCTTAAAGAAAACTCTAAATAGTCAATAATATCTTAATAAATTTTATTTATATAATAAAAATATTGTTTTTAATCAATGTTGGAATTGCAGTATCACTCTTATTAATACTATTCCTATATAGATCTTGAAAAGTTAAAGAAAATTCTTGAATGGGATGCAATAGGGGAGGTAAACCTTTATGAAAATGAGAAAACAATGATATACAAGATAGACAGATCTAAACATATTCGATTAAGTGACTTAATAGAATTAATAGTAAATATATGTATTTTTATATAATAGGAAATTGACTTGATCAGATTTCATTTAGGATAGCTGCTTTTGCTTTTCAAAAAGTTATTAAAGAAAGTGAAGTTGATGGAAGATCAAAATTTAGAACACAACTATTTTAGAGAAGATAGAATTTGGTTGAATTTGAAAAATTAAACCTATTTTTCTATTACATATCAAAAAATTAAGTATTAAATATCTTTTACAGGATATCAAAGTAAATTTTATGAAAATCTAGAATTAAAAGGAGTTGTTGACTCATAAAAAATTCTATAAATTATTTCACTCATAATTAAAAGATTAAAAAAAAATAATATATTTTTAAATAAACATAGGAAATCAAATCATTAAATCATAGATAATATATACGAACCTATTTTATAATCATGTTAAAAAGGATAAATAGGTGATAGTATAAATTGTTTAAACACGTTGTTAACAAAATATTCATATAATTATAATAATTAAACAGTGTCATTCGATGATAGATTAATAGATGAATACATGTATTCAAAGAGAAAACAACAAAAAAATACAATTGAAAAGCAATTATAAAAATTTATTGCAAAAATCGATTAAATTCCTTTAGTTACGGAATAATTTATGTTAGAAAAGATTAAAGAAATTAGACTCAACTTAAAGAATTGGGAGAGTCTATAATTTAATGATAATGATGAAACACTAAAATATCATCAAATGCTATAAATTTATAGAAACAAAAAAAATTAAATCTAATAACCTGCTATTGCACTTATAACAGAAATGGTTGATAATATTTGTGAAAAATAAATTTGACATAATCTTTAAGGAAGGTATGGAATAGTCCACTAAATAAATAATAATTAACAATGTATTTGGATTTAAATTATTAAATTACTTTGAGAATACTAAAGATATTTTTTAAACATTAGGCCAAGATTATTATATGAGATTAATACTTGATTTAGGATCTAACTTTATAGAAGCTAATATTGACAATTATATCAAGCCCTAAATTCTGATATTGATTAATGAATTAATTTGAAATAAGATCCAGGATTAAGGCCTTTGAAATTATATAATAAAAATTAATCAATTTGATCAGATTATTTATTTTATTTAAAATCTCCTTCTTAAACTGGAGGATAAAATATTCAAATATATTATTCTTCTTTAAGATTTATCAACATAAACAATTATGTTCAGAAGTATAAAATCCAAGTGTCATATGATTTCTGTCATTATTAAAATCAGTATCCTTTAATTAATAAAATATTAAACTAAAATTTGGAAAATAGACTGAATAAATTTGATATCGAATATTATAATTATAATACTATGATTCAAGCAGCTGCTGAGTATTATTTTTATGAAAGGATTAGAAAAATTGATATGTAAGCATTCATAGGATGTCCACCAGTCTACAAATCTTTTCAATTATACAATTATTAAATCTGAATAAACTAATTTATGAATTACATGATAATTTAATTAAATAGCTCTACAAATTTTAGGCTATAAAATATCATTTAATATAAAAATTTTGATAATCAGTTTATTCCCAAAGTTCAAAAAAAAATTTAAGTAAACACCTCAGATACTTTCAAGAATCTTCTCAATTTTGAAAATTAATCCTATAATTGTTAAGCCATAAGCTGATATATAAAAGATACCATTTTTATTTCCAAGATTAACTATTTTTCATTAAATTAATATGTGTTTTAGATGTAGACACGTTTTTATTTAATAGATTGTCCAGTCCTTCAAATAAGTTATATGTAAAAGTTTGCAAGATTTAATCCATGATTTATTTTTCAACAATTTCAGCTTTTCCTATTTAATCATTCTTTATTTGAGAATTCTTTTTGAAATCTAAAAATATTAATATTTCCTTTAAATTAGTTCATGCATTCAGTTAATATGCATTCAGTTAATAGAAGTCTCTTCTTATTTGGTATTATAAAAAAAAAAAATTTCCTTTAAAAAACAAGAAATGGCTGTAAATTTAAATGATAACTTTCCTATTTAATGAAAAGAAATTTACTTAGATGTTTATAATATTATTATAAAAAATAAAACCATCTTAATCATCAATAATTTTTAATGTTTTTTAATGACATTAAAATTATTATACTATCAATTTGAATTAAATAAGCTATTTATAGCCAAATTAAGTTATTTTTTTTAATTATTAATAAACAAAAATTGATTTTAACATCTAAAAGAGCTTCTATTAACAGATCCAAAATGAAATGGTTCAAATCATTAACGAGACTTTAAGATAATGATTAATTAAATCAACTAAATTAAATATTAGAAATTAAATGGCAAGATAATGAAAAACTTTTATATTCAAAATAGTGTAACCAAAAACATGAAGTTATGTAAAGTGAAGAAAAACTTAAATCAATTTTTGAATAAAATTCACTCAGCTTACTAGATACAGTTTCAAAGATATCAAACTGTTCGTTACTGCACAAAAATAAAAATGAATGCTGAAAAGTTGAGAGACAAATTTGTCAACTTATAAGGTCACTAAATATTGAAAATTAGATTGAAGTAGATTGAATAGTAATTTAAAAATAAGAAAATTTTCCTACCAAATTTTCTTAATTGATTTCGGATAGAAGAGATATAATGAATTAGAAATAATAATAATCTATTTAAATTTATGCATGAAATATAGATAATCTAGATTATATAAAATTATTCAACTAATGATATAGCAAAAGTTTGTTATGAAGTAAGCTCAATAGATGTAATGAATAAATATGCACATAGACCTAAATGGGATGTCCTAAAATTAAACTTCAAGGTATATTGTATATTGTCATAAAAATAAAAAATCTTATTGAAATCAATAAATAGGAAGATTGGTAATAAATAAAATAAAATGTAGAACCACTTCGAAGATTTGAGCTAGATTGTTAAATTATCATTATAAAGCAAATAACATGAAGATACATAAGGAATGATCATAAATATAGGTATTTTACTGAATCACAGATATTTAACAAGCATATAAGTTGATTGTGTATAATTCTAAGACTTTGTATTTTAGTTATTTAATAAACTCATTATTTTGTTATGAATAGGAACAACACTATCAAATACAACTTAATAATTGAAAATAAATTTCTTTTGTTAGAATACCCATTAATATTTAAATATAAATATTCATTTTTTTAAAGGAGTGCTTTAATTTGCAATAGGCTTAACAAATGTAGAATGAAGCAATAATATATCAAGCTTATATTTTTACTTAGACGTATTGAAATTACATAAATAAAGTTCTGGTTTTTATAAAAATTCAATTATAATAAAATTTTTTATTATTTTCCTAAATTACACTAAATCCTTTTGTTTTTAAAAGAGAAGTTTTTGATGTAGTTATTAAGGCATGGAAATCAATTATTTATTTTATAGATCTTTAGTACATTTTTTTATAATAGATTTTTGTGTATTCTTTTAATATGAGATTATTTGATTGCCATTTATTCTCTCTATTTCTGTTAGATACTATCAATATAAAAATTGAATACTTGATATTTTGATGATTAATTTAATTGTATTTAGAAAGGTGAGTACTTTCTATTTAAGTTGTTTTTATTGATAAATACAACTTGCATTTGCTTTGTTGGTGATTGGGTTTATAAAGTTTTTAAGGCTTATTCCATTATTTATTATTTCTAAGATATAAATTATTAGAAATTAAAATTACTGAATCTCTTAAATACTTCAAATTTCCAAATAGGGGGATGTGTATAAATAGGTTGTAAATTTCTTTGATTGTGATTTCTGTGGTGTCTATATTTAAGAATGTATAGTTATAAGAAAATTAAGAAAACATAATTATATTAACCTCTAATTTATATTATGATCAATGAAATTATTTATAACTCAATAAAATAAAATATCAATAACATTTTAACTGAAGTTCTCCAGAAAAATGTCATGATGATTTTATTACAAAAATATCACGATCAGTCATCTAAACTGGGATATTCTGAAATATATCTATTCTGGTAAAGTCTTACTTTGTACTCTCCAACCGTCATATAACTTTTTGATTTTCAATACATAAAATCTTTTTAAGTATTAATAGATATTTTTAATTATTATTGGGAGTGCAGAATAGATATAAGCTGTCATATTTAAAAAAATTTGATTAATAAATTATATATATTTAGAAAGAAAATACCAATTATATTATGATATTATTAAATATAAAAATCTATTATATTAGATGCATTACAACAATAAATATCTAAAAATTGAAGTCACTGAGGTATAACAAATTGATTTCAAGAAAAATATTGTTTGCATTCAAAAATTGGAAGAAAAATGTTTACAGCTTATTAAAATTCAAAAAAGAATATTATATATTTGAATAGTGATTGATAATAATATAAAATAATTATGTTAGAAGATCAAAATAATCAAGAGATATAATCTTGAGTTAATTAGTTAATTATTAGCTATCAATATTTAGATAATTTAATGACAAAATGATTTGTCTCTTAAAGATTGATAAGTAAATAATGAATTAAATAAACTATTTACTATGTTTCATTAAATTTGAATTAAATAGTTTTATTAGAATCTCAAATTAATAATAATCTAAATTTATACAAAGAAATCCAAAAATTGATGAATACGATTTAAGTAATATGATTGAATATTAAATCATATAAGCTAGGAATTATATAATTCTTTTTTTAGATTTAACGAAATATCATTATTAATAAAATATCAATATTAATAAAACATTTAGAAATATCATAGATTGCTTATCTAAAAATAAATATTGTTATGATATATTGGATCCTTAATTTCTGTGCTTTTTATCAATTTAATTCAAACAAATGACTTTTAAACAAAAAAAATATTCTTTCTTATAAATTAAAGCCATCCTTATTATATGTTAATTTTTTTAATTGAATTTAGAATCAAAAAGATTCCAAAAATAAATAAATAACAATGACTTGAATAAAAAATGCATAATGAATATAATCATTATAATTAGATCTCATCTTACAATTTTTATTCTAATTTTTCTAATTATTTAATCATCTTCTCATATTCTTACAATTTAGTTTAATAATCATAATAAATATCGTAATAATCTCTCTTTCTTACTTCAATTATTGATCCAATATATTAATACATAAATTCAATACCATCCAATTTAATACGAGTATATTTTTAATTAAATTCATATATCTATTACAAATTCCCCAGTTTTATTTTAGGGATTCTTTCAGGTTCAAATTCAAATATTCTTTTTATTAATATATTTAGATTCGATACCAATTATTTATACTATACCCAATAAGAATAATTATCTTTCTCAATTAATCAATTGGATTCAACAAAAAAACAAAATATTTGATAATCTCTGTTGATAATGCTTTTATTTCAATAAAATGAATCTTATTAAAAATATTTGTCCAATATTATCTTAATTTTTATTTATCTTACTCTATTAGATTCATGCATTAAAGTATTTTTTAATTATCTTCTTATAAATTTATTAAACAAAACCTGATTTCATTTATTTTCTATTTACTTATCAATTTCACTATAAAGTTCATATCTGAATTTAATAAGCGTAGCTATAAATAAATTGTAATATCTAAAAATTAACAAATCTATAACACAACTTCCGGTCATAAAGGACTATCTTAAATAAGTTAATTACAACGTGATTACAGTTTCGAATAAATGAATAAATATTTAGACATGAACTAACTGGAGGGAATCTATGACAACTTTTAGAGAGTGAAGGCTGTTATTGATGACAATGAAATTACATAAGCAAATCTTATGGATTTCACAACATTGAACTTGCTATGCTACGAAGAACCTTTGAGAGTAGAGGACGGAAATGCAAAATGGCACAAGCGAAAGAGGAAGTAAAGAAAAGGAAAAAAAAGGAGGGAAAAGGATAAAGCCATTAGTAATTCTAAGAAGAGGAAAGTAGATTACTATAAATGAGCCATCATATACATTTAAATAATAATAATAATTTAATTAAATTTTATAAAACTTTGGAATAACATGTGTTTTGATATGAAAATGAAGAGTGGAACTGATAAAGACAAATATAAAAATATTAGGAATTGATTATAATTATATTGTTATTGTTGTTGAAAATAATCAAATTCACTTTTACTATAAGTTTTCCAAAAAGTAACTTCCTTTTTGTTTAAATAATGTTTTTAAATCAATACCTGATTGATTAATAAATTCTCCTTTCAGAACTAAAGCTCCTTCAACTTGAAATATAGCCTGCTGGGATATATGGAGAGTATTAATGTAATGGGGGCCTTAAAAAATGAAAAATATAAATACTACCTGCTAAAATAAAACTATTTTATTGGAGTGGAATCTTAAATTATATTAAAAAATCTTTCTAATTTTTATCGGAGGATTTAATTTCTTATCCTGTCTTTACATCCCATATACAGATAGACTTATCATCACTAC